TTAGAGCTGTGTATTGATCTCGCATCCTAATTTGCTTTTCTGTTTATTCTCATGAACAGTCTCTCGACGATATCAACACTTTACACAATACCATTTGGAGTTGGAGCTGCTGGAAGGTTTGTAAACCCCTCTTGTAGCCTCTTGGGGCATGTTAGACTGACCCCCATAGTACACTTATAATGTTCTAACAGAACCCTAACTCTTTTTCGCTGTCTTTCTTCAATAACAGCACGAGAGTGTCCAACGAATTGGGAGCAGGAAATGCGCAGGCAGCTCGTGTAGCTGTCTATGCAGTGATGCTTATAGCAGTCACCGAGACAAGTATCGTGAGCGCGGTCTTATTTGCAACCCGGAAAGTCTTCGGTTACACCTTCAGCAACGAAAAGGAAGTCGTGGACTACGTTACGAAGATGGCTCCTCTTGTTTGCCTCTCTGTCATCTTAGACACCTTCCAAGGTGTCCTTGCAGGTATAACTCAACCTCTCTGTATCATTGGAGAGAACTTTGTCTGGACTTGATCTCGATAGACCCATGGAACTATGATTTAGGAACAGGGAAGCCTACACTAGATAAGTCAATCACCTCCCCGAGCGATTATAATGCAATCGGTTTTTTGTCGTGATGTTGTATTGCTCGATCAGGTATTGCAAGAGGATGTGGGTGGCAACACATTGGAGCTTATGTGAACCTGGGGGCATTCTATCTGTGTGGAATTCCAGTTGCTGCAACTTTGACCTTTTGGGTGGGATTGAGAGGAGTGGGACTTTGGATAGGGATTCAAGTGGGTGCTATTGTACAGATATCGTTGCTCTCAATCGTGACCTGTTGCTCAAATTGGGAAAAGCTGGTAATTTATTTTTTTCCTATACTACTCAAATCAACAACATGCCTTAGGGATTCTTTACCAAAAAAAAAAACAACATGCCTTAGGGATGACTTCTTAGCAGCCAGCTATACCTTCATAAAACTAGACGAGCAGGAGTTTGGGACAGCTGTAGATCCTCTTTCTTCATGGTGCAATCGTCACAAGTTATATGGCTTTTTATTGGAAGTGCAATCTAAGTTTTTCCTGTCATCAATTCTTCGATTTTTCCTTAGTGGCAACCTCTGTAGGCCGTCCTCTAGAAATTTTTCTTGCTGCCTCGTAAGGACTTGATTGTAATATTCAAGAAGATTTAGGAACTAATTGCACTCAACCGAAAGATCTAGATTAGTCTTGGATATTTTCATGTTAGTTAATCATGTTAGAAAATGTTTTAATGTAATTACGAAGTATTGTTATCACCGAACTAGGTATCAATTCACGTCAATGTGTAGAGCTGTGCCATGTCATGTTACGTCGATTGGCAGTTTCTCTTGATAATTCCCGTTGTATTCGACTCCGTGTTCACCTATGATAGTGGGAATTGCCATCAAGGAATTGAGTTGGTGCTGAACTTTCTTTTGGTGTTGCAGGCATGCAAAGCGAGGGAGAGATTATTTGACGGAAGCTTTTCAGCCGATAATGGATCGATCATCTGAGCTCAAGCAGAGCTCCAACTGAGAAAATGATCATTGCAATTCACAAGCTCTCCAGTTGTTTAGTTCTTGATTTCAGTGATGTCACATTCATAGATTGCATTAGATCACACATGGCATCTGCGGCCGTATGCAATTCACACTCAAATTCACTGAACAAGGTCACCATTTCCGCACAAATATCCAGCGCCTGAACATCAGCCATCATTCAATAATCTCAAGCATAAGTCATATATGAACATGAACATCAGTCATTCAAACAAGAGTTTGGGGGTAATTTCATTGCCTTGCCCTAAATGAAAATGCTTATCATATCGAGATATTTGACAGGTTGTACCTAGATTCTTGGTCATTTTCAGATACCGTTTCTTAGTTGGTGAACTAGACGAATAAATCTAAATACGTGAGTCGAGTTATGTTGTTAGCCATTATCATTTATAGTTATCGTGTTGCAGCGGAGAGCCCTCTTCGGGATATCTTCAAATTAAGTGCTTCACCGTCTTTTTGAAAGGAAAAGAAATCACGGAATTTATTCTAAACCTCAGCAACATGGAACATAAATCAAGATCCAAAGCTAATAACGCCTCTTGCCTATAAGCAGCCACCGATGATAAGTAGTCTAGCCAGATTATCACCAAAAAACCAAAGGGCCCTCACAATGTGCGCAAGATTCTTTCTACCTTCTTGTTCATGCAGAATCCCTTTCAAGCTGAAAGTCAAAAAGGAGCCAAACTGCAAATGTTCTGCTTCTACAACGAAACAAATTAGTGCCACCAGTTTTTCTTGACATATTCATAGACACGTGTCACACTAGATGTGCCGTGCTTCCTTTTGCTTTATATAAAGCCCAATTATTCGGAGGCTCGTGGAACATCCCATACATCGATTAAGTCTAGACTTTTGGTTTGTGCATATAGCCTTGACTCATAGCAATTTGCATGCAATTTATAATTTAATAAGATAATGGCGGTCACTATTCTCTTTCTTTACAATTATCTTACACTTACGGTGACAATATGTTAGAATGCTATGATACGATTTTATGACCAGTCATGACGTTGATGTCATGTTATAAGAAAATGCTAATGGCGAATAGGTGTCGGCCCTTCTTGTCTTCTACTCGCCAATGCCATCAAGAGATTATAACATGCGGTCTCTCTCTCTCTCTCTCTGTTCATTCAGAATATGATTTGATGGATCCAATCAAATGAAATTGATTATTTGTTGGTTGGAGGTGGAGAAGATGCTACATGCACGGCTTCCCGGATGTTGAAAGAAAACATTTATCGTCTCGCCACACGTGAGAGTACTGCTCTTGTCCGCATGCTGATGTGCGACAACCCCTCGCTGCTGTCTTATTAGGCTTTGGTCTATCATCATTTGTTTTTGTATTCCTCTTCCTCTGTCTTTTCCTTGATATGCTAGCATATAAAATGCAATTATTGTCACTGATAATTGAAGACACCATCAAGTCTCTTCAACTATTAATGTTTTTCTCCTATAATCTGCGAACACTTTGTTTGATTGTGATTTGTGAATAAAATATTTGCACAGAGACGTGTATGAAGTCGGCATCGTTCTATATTATATGAATTCCATCCGGCATCTATACTACGATATACGGTAAATATATGATAGCATAAGTAGCATATAATCCAAAATTTATTTGGAAATAAATCTTGAATAATATAGCATGGCATGGATCGTTTGCACTGCTGATATGTTGTGTAGCATGCTGAAATAATGTTGGCATATCAAGTGATAAAACCGACTTTGGTATGCAGGATTTGAAGAGAATTGCTTAGTCACCACTAACAAATGATGTAGTAATTACATAATCCGAAATTTCTTTTTATTAATAAAAAGAGAAAATTTTGCACAACAAGTCTTGAAAATCATGACACAATGTTTGAGAGTTTTGTAATTCCGATGTGCGGAATTATGTTAATTTATGACTTTGACATGACATTTGTGGGTGCCACAATTATTCTAATCAAGTCCATAGACTTTGAATTTGTCTAATATTGTCCTACTTTTAAAATTTCTAATCAAATTCCTTCGACACCAAATCCAACTGATTAGGAGTGCCAATGGGTCGGGTCGGGTCGGGCTTGCATGATACCCTACTTGACCCAAAATCAATAGGGTTGCGCTTGGCCCGCCCAGACCCGGCCTAAGACCCTGTTCAGCATATACCCCCAAGGTCCGAGTCGGGTCGGGTTAGGCCGGGTCGGGGTTCGGGTTCGTCACTCAATTACAACCTTTCCAGTTTTTTCATCCTTCTCCAACTCCATGCTTCTCTAAACATCAGCTTCGTTGGGCCCCAACACCGAAATCGGCTTCGTAACCCCGAATTGCCTCGCTGCCATCGCCATCGCCGGCACGGGGGGCGGCGACTCCCTCAATCCCTCCGAACTCACCATCCGAGACGGATCGAATCAAAACGCAAAAGCAAAAGGCAGAGCCTAAATCGAGCAAAGAACCGTCCCAATCGACGAAAAGAGATGTCCCAAAACAGAAAAAAGGTCTCCGCTTTCTCCCCTGAAGAACAACACCGCCCACACCAAAAGGGAAATCCACAACTGGAGGATTCAATCGACGATCGCAGGGACGCCGGAGCCGAGGCCCGGTCGGAGGAATGGCGAGGGAGCGGGCGAGCAAAGGCGCTGACTTTCCGGTCCCATCGAGAGGAGCGGATGAAAGGAAATCGAAACCCTAATCGAATCGAATCGGATCAAATCGGGATGTGCCGGAGGAAGGAGGGGGGGAAGCGGATCTCGCCACGAATTCAAGAGGAGAATGCGAAGGAGAAGAGCATCCCCGAGGCCCTAGATCATGTCGTAGAAGAAGGAGATACAGAAGCGAGAGAAAGAGAAGAGAGAGAAAGTGTTGATTTTTTTGAGTTGAGGAGAGAGAGGGAGATGTGTGGACTGTGGCTTATGAGTGGTTTTGTGGTGTCAATGGGTCGGGCCCAACCCTATCCAAACTTAGTAATACTCATACCTAAAAATCCTATCCAACGTAGACAACACCCAACCCCAAAATAACCCAAATTATAGGGCCGGGTGGGGCCGGCGTGGGTCGGGCTGGGCCGGCATGGGCTTTTTGGACACCCCTACAACTGATGTGGCGTCTGACGTGGATAAAACTTTTCCCATGTGGATGTTCACATTGGCTAAATTTATCAACATCATTTATCTACATCCGCTAAATTTTTCCACACAAGTCAATGTGGCAATCTGCATATTTTACCAGCATCATATTTTGGCTTCATCCAATAGTCATATCACCTGAATTCGGTCGGATTTAGTGTCGGAATGACTTGATTAGAAAATTTGTGAAAATAGAAAAACTCGATTGGATAAATTAAAAGTATAGAGACTTGATTAGATAAGGTGTGATAATGCAGAAGCATGGGATGATATTTTCATTTTTCCAGTAGTTTGTGCTCTCTAGCACTGTAAACCCTAAATATCAATTCATTGGGCAGTGAAAACTCCTTCCGATTCCATTTTTCCATGCAAAAACATCAACTATCAAAACCAATTTATCAATTTGTTGGGCGGAAAAAACCCTTGCCCTGTTTCCATTATGAAAACTATGTCCACATTGCGATCCCCCATCTGTTAAGGTATCATCCTCCAAGAAACATTCCATGAAATTTTCAGAAACAATCTCCATGGTTAAGTCAAAACACAGGCGAGCAGAACCCTCATGAAACATTTTTTAAAACGTCTTGATAAAAGTTTGAAATGGTAGGAGAGCACAATGCGAGCATAGAAAAGTACAAAAGACCCCAAAAACAACAGGCCCAAGGAACCTTCTTTCTGCTCTCGTTAGACCTGGAAGAACAAACGCTATGATCTCATAGAGAAAAACGGGGCTTCCTAGGAGAAGACCGCAGTATCCAAAAACCTGCAGTATGAAATAAAAGACTTAAATTGTAACAGCACGCCATTAATCATATACATTGCATCACACAATCAAGCAAATACGCCATACAGAGGTATATATCGACTCTTCTATAGTTTGTACAACTTGATAATATGAAAGAGCTCAGGCATATTGTTTCGATCTGTTGATTCAGACAACGAAGCAACAGGAGTCAACCCAATTGGCAGGTCCATGTAATAAATGATGCAATTGTGCAAGCGGACCTAACGAACATATTCTGCTAGTGTTGTTTTCTCAGTCACCAATGAACTAGTACAATTATGTTTGAAGCTGTAAATTCTGATATTATGGTCATGATGGATCCATGAAAACCACATTGGTGATGAAATCACATGACTTGTACAAAGGATACTAGAGAGAGAGAGAGAGAGAGAGAGAGAGAGAGAGAGAGAGAGAGAGAGAGAGAGAGAGAGAGAGAGAGAGAGAGAGAGAGAGAGAGAGAGAGAGAGAGAGAGAGAGAGAGAGAGAGAGAGAGAGAGAGAGACCTTCAAAGTTATAAAGAAGAATTCCCCGGGAGCCAGTTACAGAAATTGAACACCTTGTGTTTTGACGGGAGCTTCCAGGATCCTTATTAATTCTTTTGAGAATGCAAAGCATCCCAAAATAGCAGCACTGACTGCCATAACGGACGCAAATATTCGTTGTCTCGGCTCTTCAAGATGATTGTATACACTCATTTCCCTGTCATCTGGAAGGAGCTCTTTATCAGGATACAGACATTGTTGCCCTCAATCGTGACCAGAATCATGCACAAATTGGGGAAAGCGGGTGAATTATTTTTGTTCTTCACTACTCAAATCAGAATCATGCATTGTGGATGACTTCTTAGCAGCTATACCCACATAATCTTTTCCCTTCTTTGGGTTTGGGCATGGTTCTTTCCCATGTAGCCCGAAACTAGATGACGAGGAGCTTGGGACAGCCCTAGATTCTCTTTCTATTTAGGATGCAATTCTCTTTCTATTCATGGTGCAATCATCACAAGTTATTTGGGTTTTTATGGGCAGTGCAATCGAGTTTTTCTTGTCATCAAATCTTCAATTTTTCCTCAGTGACATCCTCCATAGGTTGTTGTCTAGGAAATATTCTTGCTGCCTTGTAAGAACTCGATTGCAATTCTCTTTCTTGAAACGTTATTTGTTTATAAACTGTTGTGCATGCTTTAAATGTTTTAGCATTACACTGTTGCACACACAATCATGCTGCCGGACCTGGGCTGCGATAGGATATTTTAGGATGGTGTTAAGAAAGATACAACCTCGAATGCGAGATTGCGATGTAGAGGTTGCCTTTCTTTTCCCCGAAAATTCCCTCTTGGTGTCGTAAGTGTTTATCTTTGTCTGCGAGACCGCGTGACTATAGGATATTCCTTTCGACTGAGCCGAAGTTATCAGGACCTGGCACCAACGGGAGACTGCGATGATTAGATCACCCTGTTAGCTTCACTTTGTTAAGCCGTCTAGAGTAGGAATCAGCCGCACGTTACATTCGCATGTTTATGTGATTGAAAGTTTGTCATCCACTGTAAGTATGGTTTCTCTCTTTATTTGTTAACTTTTGGTTGAAACTTTCATTTTTGAAATTCGTGGAAATCAATCGAATGCCTTAAGTGATCTAAGCTTACAATTGAAAATTTTGGGCAATCACTCTTGACACTGAGCTTTGAGCATAAATCTCAAACACCTTTGATTTGGCCCTACCAAAACAGATGGTTTTGTCTAAACTTTCAGTCATAGGCTTAAAATCACATTTTTTGTGCAGAAATTCTTTCAAGTCAAGATTGTATTTTGGGGCATAAAATTGAAATCACATTTTCAATAAAATTCTTTCTTATTCACATTTCGGAATCAAAATTCAAATCACTTTTTGTGTATTGATTTCTTAAAATAGGAATCACCTCTTTGTTTAATAGTAAAATCACAAATCAGTCTTTCAAAATTGATGCCACATTTTTGCATATGAAACTTTTGGAATATAATGGGCGTTCGACTGATAGCCGCGATTTGATCTTTTAATGATGTCTCATCTTACGATGAAATCTTGGCGAAATACCAAATCCTCGCAAATAGGGACCATGGGGTTATACGTGATGTTCACTCCTCGAATTCTCACGCTTGGGCACGCCAAGAAGTGGACTTAGAAGCTAGGACAAGAATTATTTATTGCATTCCTCTATGCAAGAATTTTTTGTACCATGTCCTTGTTTTCATTCTCATTGGGACCATGTTTTCTGATTTAGGTTTTAGTTGTGAGCCCAATGGAATGTTTTTGTAAATCATGCAACTCAAATTCAAGTTCATAAGCAGCTTTTTGCTTTGGGTCCAATTGGAGATACTGCAAGCTATCCATATGGGTTGAATTTTCATGGAAGAATAGGAGGATGGTAAATTGTGATCGTTCCAATAAAATCAATTCATTCCGAAACTGATTTGTTCATGCATTTTCTCGCAAACAGGTGAGAATGGACAATTTCGAAAATTGGTGTTTATCTCCCTTGGAAGACAACGAGATATTGAAATACCGCCAGATGTTGTGCACAAAATTCAAGCCAAAGATTGGTGGAGCCGTCCCAAGTTCATGGATGAATGGCCGTGAAAATTCTTTAGATCCAGCAATTGATGAAGGGAGTGTTCATGGAGTTCACATCCTTTGGGGACTCGTGACTTGAGTATCAAATATCTCGTAACAAATCGAAAGGGGCTGCCTCATTGTTAGACTCGATGCCTTAATCCGTGACAAGCGATTGATGGTTCTGAATCATTTCTGATCATTTGCTGCCTAGCACAATAGATAGATACATTTGAATTGGATTGGGGAGCGAATCCCACGATTCATTGCTAGAGGATGTAGGCGATGTAATCTGGATGTTACAGAGATACTCACCAACAATTATCTAATTAGCGGACCTATGGATGATGTTAGGAAGACAGCCGCTGACAATTTTGTTGAGATTGTAGAAAAAGGAAGGGAATTGGCTGTTATTGCAACTCTTGTGTATGCCCCTATCCCCATGCACAACTGCTTGCGCACAGGCTATGCGAAAGGATAGAGTACTTCCTCACAATGCCCATTAGAGAACCTTCGACTTAGTTTGCAACATTGTTCAGCTCGGTGGAGCACCCATGTGGGGGCATATTTAGAGCAAAGTGTGAATTGCAATCCTCCTGAAAGTGAATGATCGGGGAGATGATGATGGACTCGCTGATGTCCCACGAAGTTTGGAGTCGGATCATTCGCGCCTTTCTTTGTCACAGCGAGTCACATTTTGGAGGATAGAGGACCTTCTTGAATATTTTCCAAAAGTCTTGGACACGAGGCAGTAGGGGTCATGGAGAGTCTTGGAGAAAATGTCGACGAGGATATCGTAAATGCACTGGATGCACCAGTGAAGTACTCAGTGGGACAGAGTATCTTTTTGGAGGAATCATAGTGCCCCAAGCAGTCATTTCTCGCGTTAGCACTCCAGAACTTGGCGATTACTTTGTCTCCCATTTCAAATGATTCACTTCCTAGTAGAACTATGTCTTCCTTCATTGTCACCAAAATCAACGCCTGGAAGAGGAGATTCGCCCCAAATGCGAAAGCAAGAGATTGAGTTGTATAGAGTAAAGGTTGGGTGGTCGCACCCTCTCATGGGGACCTTTTTCTTCCTTAACCATTGCTTTGGCCCATTTCTTGAATTCTTGGCTATTGGCTTCTAATTTTTTGGGGGAGGCATTCAAACATTTGTATGTTCTAGCCACCAAAGCTCACTGGATTTAGACAATTAATGTTTACTTGTTATGCTCTTCTCAAGGGCACTATAAAGGAGAGCGAACATTACTTGTAAACAACTCCTTGGAATCTGCCAGAGCATTTTGTTGTGGGATACGTCCCTGTTTGTGACCCTTGATGTTGGACTCAAGTTATCAACTTTGTACATAAAGGGAAACCACGGTCGGCGTACGGTGTGAAGAATGACCAGTTCAATTCAAGAACCTTTGACAATAAATGAAGGGTCGAAGCTTGTTCATACGCATGATCCCATACGATGTTAGTCGTTGTTATCTCAAGAAATGCACAAGGTTTTCAGTATGACCAATTTAAGAGCCAATAGCGAGATTATTGCTAGAGGCCATGTCTCTGTTGATTGACATCATTAAATGGAAGGTTGACCAAGGCGAGAGGCAGTGTTATTCAATCCTTCTTTATGGGATTAATTTGGATATGGTCGGAAGATCTCTCCCAATGTTCTCAGCATTTTGAGTGACAATCTATAAGTCACTCAAAATTGGGAAGGTGGCTTGCTAGTGGATTTGATTGAAAGAGAAATTTGATAATCCTGTCCCGGTGCCTCCAGAGGTTCGGTGTGACATCTTTTGTCTTTTGTAATATATGCCATGAAGAAAGTGAATGCAAAGTTGGTATTGTGGCTTTCTTTGGTTTGATCACCGCGGCTACTATTGTCGTATATTCACAGTAGTGCTCTTATTGAGATAGGGAGGCTTTTATGCCCCTCGCGACGGGAGATTGAAGCAGTCATCATCAAGCTTAAGACGCTCTTCCTTGAATTGCCGCTCTTTCATTTTGCATGCAATAGTCATGTTTATATACTCGAAACAAGCAAAGGCGATAGTTGAAATCAAGAGGCGAGGAGACTGACCTGAAAGCACAATTGGGGACGCAAGCAAAGTTAACTTTGAACATGTCCACGAGAAGTAGAGAATCAAGCACTCTCCGTCTATGAAATGCAAAAGGGAGTATTCGTTCCAAGTTGAAGCATCTCATTTATAAACCGACGTGGTCATTTGTTCTTGCAGGAAATAGTGAAACGTGAAAATCACAAAAAGGCAACATGTCGACAAGACAAGATCAGATGATCTCCCGGCTTTGAAAAAAGGGTGTATTTCGTTCCTCAATCTAATTCACTTAAACGTAGAAATAACACTTCTCTTCACTATGGGTAGGAAATTTCTAATTGGAGAGGGTGATTGCAAAAATGACCAAGAAGCAAGAAGCGCGAAGCGCTAGAGTCACTCTATTTTGAAAAGAAGAGGGGCTCAAATAGAACACCGCCAACCAAACATGATGGGGCAGCATATATCAAAAGGGAGTGTATCTGATGATGAAGACAATGCCTCTCACCGACCAATCATGACAAGACATCCGAGTTATCACAAAAGGATGTATCCTTCCTAAATTAAGTTCAATAGAGAGTGGAGATAACATGTTCCATTTCCTTTCTCGCAGGGTGATAAATGGGGCAGGTCACTCAAAGGGTAGTAACCCTCACCCATGATGCATGATAAAACGGAGTCATTCAATTCAACATAAAAAAGGGTGTATCGTTCCTGAGTTAACCCAATTTAACTTTGGAATGGAAATAACATGTCTTATCTCTTGTAGACAAAGGCGCACATTGACCGCGGGAGCGACACCTCCTACCAAAGAAACATGAAGCATCAAAGGCCTAAAGAACAAATGCAAGTGAAGGGTAATAATGTATCGTTTTCAATTTTTCAATCTATAAAGATTCATGCACTAACACATTCTTTCTTATTCTTTACAGAGTTACCAAGTCGGCATGCCGCAAGTAAGTACCATTCTTCCAAAATTCTAATGGAGAATTTTCATTACAAAGAAAAAGTTTTTGATGTTTTTTGTGAAAATAAGCACAAAAGTGGAATTGAGGAAAAGAGAGAACAAAGGTAGAAACTGTGAAAGCAAACTTTTCAAAAAATTTTGAATATCGTCTTTATCCAAAAATTGTCTTGACGCTTGGTGGATTATTCATTTTGAATCGAAATTCCCTATGGAGCTTAATCAATTCATGATGATATCAACAAAATGAAAGGGAGAGGTTATCCATGCTAAGTGAGAAATACTTAGAATGAGGAAAGGCAAACCATTCCCAAACACATCCCGCAAACACTTTGAGAGTTGAGTGGAAGAAAAAATCAG